GCCCAGCTATTTTTTTTTTTTTTGAGTTGTAGCCGTCATTGTTATTTGGCAGGCCCAGGCTGGATTCGAACCAGCCACCTAAGGTGTATGTGGCTGGTGCCTTAGCCACTTGAGCCACAGGCGTTGAGCCTGCAGTTATTTTTTTTGTCGTAGTCTTCATTGTTGTTTTAGCTGGCCGGGGCTGGGTTCGAACCCTCTAGCCTTAGTGTATGTGGCCGGGGCCATACCCACTGAGCTATGGGCACCGCCAACTTGGTGCATTTTGAAGGATGTCTCTGCAGAAGTTTATCCTCTCTGGCTTCCTTTTCAAGAACACAAGTAAATTGCAGTCTTCCTTAATGACTGATTGTGGTGGTTGAGTATAGATTGGAGAGAAGTATATAGGCAAAAGGGAAAATGTATGCAGAAAGAAAAAAAAATCTGAGTGGCACACAGCTGGAATTTTTCCTTAGGCTATATCCACTCATGGGCTTTAAATTTTTTTTAATGAAAGCAAATTCAAATATCCAGTTTGCACACACCATATAATATTTCTGCATCAGATTTCAAAAGGGTTGGAGATGAGGACTAACAAGGGGAAGGACCTGATTCCTTAATGAAGCTGCACTGTCAGGAAAGGCCTATCTTGAATAGCAGGAGGCTTGGAGGGGAAACCAAAGCAAGTGGCAGGGAGGCCCTGGAGCAGGGTGGCTGCTTACAGCATTCGGTGCCCTTGACCGGGTCTGGGAGACTGGTGCACAAGCCTGGGGTGTGCGGCACAGCGACTCTCCACCTGGAACCTGTGCTGTCACACGCAGTATACTCATAGTGGTATTCAGACTGTAGGGGAGAGAACAGTGGCAAAACATCCATTAGCAGTGATCAGACATTAGCAGCTTTGCACCCGGGACTACTGATGCTTATCGCACAGTAATTCGCAATAACAGGCCCTGGAACCCCCAGCAGGGAGCAAGGCATCGTGGTACTGAAATGCCTATGATGCAAGGACAAGAGCTCCAACAATCTGGGTCATTCCTTTCCGCCTGGCCATGGTCTAGTCCCTAGAAATACATTTTGTGTGTGTGCTTCCCTTTGGTGTTGTATATAAATGATGTCCTGGTGGAACGGAGGACTGTGGGAAGGTAACTAAAGAGCGGGCTAGAAACGGGTGAAGATTTTCTTATTCTAAACTGTAGAATTTATGAGCAAGGATGTTTCAAAGGGAATGGTGTTCTAAATGGAAGGGCTGGTCCACAAATCACTTACAAAGGATTGTCACAGAAGCTATATTTCTATTCCCCTGTGTTCCTCACGCTCCGTATGGCCAGAAAGATCACCAATTCCCACTTGCATTTTATGAAAATGTCATATTTAGCCCAGACAGGTGATGTGCTCTCATCACATGAGTCTGTTCACGCCTACTTTCTCTGTGCAGCCAGAAACTCACAGTCCAGTTGTTTTAGTGGAACTTAGAATAACTGAAGGATAACTACAAAACAGCCAATGAAACATTAAATAAAACAATAGCAAAAACAACAGAAAACACTACTCAGGAGAAAGAAAACACAATTGATGTGTCAATTGCCTTTAAGTATTTCTTTTTTCTTTCTTTCTTTCTTTTTTTTTTTTTTTTTTGAGACTGAGTCTCACTCTGGCACCCTGATTGGAGGGCTGTGGCATTAGAGCTCACAGCAACCTCAAATTCTCAGGTTCGAGCTATCCTCTTGCCTCAGTTTTTCTATTTTCAGTACAGACTTCCCAGAGTGCTAGGATTACAGGTGTGAGCCACCATGCCCGACTGCCTTTAAGTATTTCTTACTCTTTTAAACCTTGTAATAAACAATAGACCCTGGAATTAGTGATGATTCCATGACTGACAAATATTTTATAATCTGCACTTACCTAAAACTATATTCAAGGATTTATTTTATTTATTTATTTATTTTTTTTTTGAGACAGAGTCTCATTATGTCGCCCTGGGTAGAGTGCTATGGTGTCATAGCTCACAGCAACCTCACTCATGGGCTTAAGCGATTCTCTTGCCTCAGCCTCTCAAATAGCTGAGACTACAGGTACCCACCATAAGACCTGGCTATTGTTTGGTTTCAGTTGTCATTGTTGTTTAGCAGGCCCGGACTGGATTGAAACCTGCCAGCCTCGGTGTATGTGGCCAGCGCCTAGCCACTGAGCATAGAGTGCCAAGCTCCTAAAACTATATTCAAGCCCAGAGCTACTTTGTATTAGAGTATCCATAAGAAAAACAAAATTAATGTTCCCCTTCAACCTGCATGAAAGCCTGATTGTGTGGCATGCATGTATGACTTCAAGGAGCTGGGACAGTTCTGTTTCCTAATCTAATAAGACATCAGGACCCAAAGGAAAAAGTTTTACCTTTTGGGAGAGGTAAACGTACTGAATTTTATCCATCTAAGATGCATGTTTTTTCTTACATTTAACCTCTATGAACTTAAGATGTATCTTATAACTGACCCAGTAAAGAAGCGTTGTGTCATATTGTAACTGATAGAGTTGTTTCTTTCTTTGTGCCACACAAAAAATGATGTGTCTTAGAAGAGTGGCATCTCAGGCTTGTTGAAATATGATAAATGTATTTTGGGGGGCTGTATTTATATATTTATTTTGGGGGACAGAGTCTCACTCCCTCACCCTGGGTAGAATGCCATGGTGTCATCACAACTCACAGCAACTTCAAACTCTTGGGCTTGAGTGAGCCTCTTGACTCAGCCTCCCGAGTAGCTGGGGACTACAGGCACCCATGACAACGCCTAGATAGTTTTTCTACTTTTAGTACACACAGTCTCACTCCTGCTCAGGCTGGTCTCAAGTGCTAGAGCTCAATTGATCCACCCACTTTGGCCTCCCAGAGAGCTAGGATTATAGGTGTGAGCCACCAAGCCCAGCCAACATGTTTGTTGAAATATGATAAATGTGGTGTTTCTCAATCTCTGGTTTCAGAAATTTGGAATGATCAGAGAACACTTTATTTTATTTTATTATTTTTTGGCTGAGGCTGGGTTTGAACCCACCACCTCTGGCATATGGGGCCGGCGCCCTACTCCTTTGAGCCACAGGCACCGTCCCAGAGAACAAGTTTAGAGCTTTGTTTCAATTTAAATACATATTGTTTGCCAAGCACCTACAGGTAGGAGATGTGCCTGGTGAGCTTGGGACAACACTTGACCTCTGCATTTTCATCTAGAGGGAAAAGAAGCAGAGGAGATGGGAAAGATTTAGGGAGCTGTAAGCCTCAATTTTGACCAGCATCTTTGGCTTTTAATTTAAATGTCAGTGTCATCTAGGAAAGAAAAATGATCAGAATAGGTCTCTGTGCCCCAGGTTTACCCTCTCTCTGGGGCTATTTTTCCTCATAATTCTGCTCTTTTCCTCATCTCAGGCTGCTGTGGATACATAAGGCAACTACACATATATCATATCAATCCCAGATCTAAAAATGATACTCTCCAAAGGGTTTTGCTACAGGAATGATGGGTCAAATCCACAGTACGTAAATTAAATGGAGAATCGAGTGATCAAGGTGGAAAGGACTCCACATTCTGCCTGTGAGCATAATTATGTGGTCTTTTTATTCGTAGTAGTGACTTCCCACTTCCCAAACACTTCATTTGATCTTCACAACTCCTTATAGAGCAAACACAGCAAGGACTGTTCCCCTCAATGCACTGATGAAAAAAATTGACCTCCTTGGGCGGCACCGGTGGCTCAGAGGAGTAGGGTGCCAGCCTCATATGCTGGAGGTGGCGGGTTCAAACCCAGCCCCAGCCAAAAACTGCAAAAAAGAAAAAAACTGACCCTTATAGGGTGAAGTAGCTCATCCAAGGTCATACAGCCTGTATGTCACCCAGGCCTCCTCTTCCAACCACATAAAGCTGATCAAACACAAACTCACATTGGGCCAAATTTAAAAGCCACATCTAAAAATTAAACATGACAGTGTTGGGTGTCTGCCAGAAGCCAGGCTCCCATCTCAGGCCTGAGAATCAGTGTTAAAATATCTGATCTGCTTGAGCAGATAATTTCCATTCAGTCTGACTGCATTTGGCCCTTGGGAAGCACATGGGCCAAGTCTATTACTTTTGATAGTCTTTCATTTGGTGTCCCCTGGCTCCCTCTCAAATGGGAGGTTTGCTGGGGAAAATGGTAATTCCAAGCCTTCGAAAATTTCCCTTTCAATGTGTGTTCATTTCCTTCATGCCACTTGGGGATATTTACAGGATTCAAGGTGGCTGGCTCTGATGCACCGGTTTCAAATCTGAGCTACATTTTGGGATGGCATCATTCAAGACATAAGCCTAGAGAGAGTTACATCAGGGGTATAAATGGCAGGACTCCTTGATTATACTCAGTGTTCCGTGAACAATTCCCCAACAGCGCCTCAGTTTACCCAGTAATCTTCCTTTGAAAGTGTGCGGTCTGCATATTGTACAGATTCACAAAGGAGACACACAAACACATTCGGTATCTATAACCAGCATGCAGCTTCTTCACCCCCCACACGCACAATTACATGACGCATATCCAAATCACAATGCTAAATGGGACACAGCAGACAGTCGCTGCTGTTTGTTCATCAGGGAAATACGGGAAGGGGACCATTAGTCAGATCCACCCTCCCTCTCATCACCCAGCCGCACAGTACTCCCCACACATGAGAAGGAAGAGGGAAAAACTCTGAATTTGAAACCTGCTTTGCCTCATGTTGAGTTCTCTGCTAGTAACACTGATCTTTCAGCTCCAGAAGAATTCACTCATCCTCACAGCTGTTTTGGTCCTTGCTGTCTAGGTATTGATTGGACTGTTGAAATGGATTTTTCTTTAACTGCCCAGTCAGGATGGTATCTGGATGGAAATCTGTCCTTCCTTCTACCTATCCCCTGCCCCTTTTCAAAATAACATGTCTTCCTTTTAAAAATGATTATCAAAGACATACTTTAGAGAGTAGAGATCGGTGGGAATCCCTGGGTTAGATGCTAGAGAAGTATTTGGTTGCCATTCACTGCGGGAAAATAGATACAATTTAAGCTGATGAGCTGGTGACACAGAGATATAGTCCACAAGGCTGCTGGTGGGAGGGCCTTAAGGACTGGGTTAGCCTCTTGTGTATGGACATCCCACCACCCCATTAACACAGGGTGCTCAACTTCCCTGAATCATAGTTGACTCCTCAAAAAATGAGGATATATGAATACCTGCCTCATTAGCCTGGTTGCTTATACAGTTGTGCAGGCTATCCACAAGGCTGCCTAGCTCAGGGCCAAGTGGAGAGTGAAATCTAGCTGAAGCTGCTAGGTGGTATGCCCTACTGTGGGCCTCCATCTGCCCGGAGGTGGTGCCTTTTTCTCATGTGCAGTTGGTCAGCTGTGAGCATAATTAAGTTGCTGTAAGTTAAGCACCTAGCATAGTAGACTTTTTTTTTTTTTGTATACGGGGCCGGCGCCCTACTCCTTTGAGCCACAGACACCGCCATAGTACGCTTTTTTATTCTCAAAACAGCCCAACAAGGTGGGTACTACTATGTTACCATTTTACAGATGAGAAAACTAAAGCATTGACAGGTGAATTTGCTTACTCCAGACCACACAGCCAAGAGGTTTCCAAGCCATGACTGGATCCAGGCTGTTCAGAGTTTCTAGTCAGGGTTGGGGGTATTTGAAAGCATCCTGTGTAGGCTCCTATCACACTCAAAAAGTGTGTCTGGGTTTCAGTGCTGGCTCTCAAGCTGCTGAAAACTTTGCAAGGAAAGCCAAGCATATCAAAAACTTCACAAGCTCAGCGCCTGTGGCTCAAACAGCCAAGGCATC